GTAGAAACCTTCCTATGTTGATCTCACCCCAGCATCAAGGAGAGACTGAAAAGGCTCCTTTTTTTATTATGGACTGCATGTCCCAGAGTCTCCCAACCAGCCTAAACATGGGATAGTTTGGTTGCTGTCTAAACAAGCTGACATTTCCAAGCCCTTTGGCTTATCTGATAGTTCGAGGTTGTTCTGGAAGTCAGCTCTCAATGGATGACTGTCTTGCTGGCAGTGAACAGCAGCATAAAAAGGTCAGACAGGATAAGCCAAGGAGGTACGTAGCCAGGTGACTAGTGGAAAGAGGAGTCAACAGCTTGTATTATGTAACCCTTCTTCATTGAAAGGATGGGGCTGAAGGATACTAATTAATGTTAAGTGGTATTTGAACATACTACAAGCCTTTGTGGCTGGAAGGATTATTGATGATTATTGACTATTGGCGGAATCTACTGGGAGAATACTATGCCCAGTTCTGGACACCACAGTTCAAGAAGGAACTAGAACTGGAACATGTCCAGGGAAGGGCAACCAAGATGATCAAAAGTCAGGAAACCAAGTCTCATAAGAAACTACTTAGGGTATTTAGACGACTGAGGGGCTTATTTGGATGATGAAAATAATCTCAGCAGAATCTGGGTTGAATCTTTGTTGTTCACATGCATTTCCAATGAACCGGGTTCAGTTTTGGGGAGAGCTGCCAAAAAACCCCACTTAACCCGGGATAATTAACCTTGAATTTTTTTTCCTGAATTTTCCTAAAAGATTTGCACTGTAGGCTGTGTGAATAACTGATGCGAATAGACCCAGGATAAATTGGGATAAAACTCTGCCTGCCTTGAATGTGTCTTGAATACATCCGCACTGTCGAATCCATCTATATTCACAGTGCTGGCACCTGTGAGCAACAGAACTCACAGAGATGCACAGAGATGTGGTTCCATAATGTGACCAATAATCCTGAAATGCGTGAGTGAGATTATTCACGTGGTTGTGTTAAAAAAAATGTGAATGACCCCCGCCACAAGAATTGACATGATAACTATCTTTAAATTTTTGAAGGGATGTCATGTAGAAGAAGAGTGAGCTTTTTTCCTACTGCTGCAGAGATTGGAACCCAAACCGATGGATTCAAATTACAAGAAAAGAGATTCCACCTAAACATTAGGAAGAACTTCTTTACTATAAGAGCTTTTGACACTGGCATAGACTGTCTCAGAAAGCAGTGCTCTTTCTCTTTAGAGATATTTAAACAGAGGTTGGGTGACCATCTCTGAGGAGTGCTTTAGTTGTGTATTCCTGCATGGCAGAAGTTTGGATGGATGACCCTTGCAGCCCCTTTTCATCTAAAGAATCTATTATACCATGATGTCCCAAGTGTGGGCAAGCTGGGTGGGTGGGTTGGCTAGTGAGTTGCTTTCCAAAATCTGCTGCTTTGTGTAAATGGCGGCTTGTACTCTGAACGATGGTTTAGGAAGATATTGAATGTGAGTTCTGGTGCCTTATATTGGTGTGACTGTAATATTGGTGGTACATACTCAGATGACACCTGTTTATGGTGAGTGTTGTTGGCACCCAGGTTTGTTTTGGTGTGTGTGTATGTGTTACAGCTACTTCCAGGAAGCACATTACAATGATATCTTTATTAGGCCAACCCCAAGGTGCAAAATATATTATGCAAGCTTTTGAAACTCACAGGCTTCTTCAACAGGGATGGATGTTAAAAGTCATTTTAACTCCTGTTTAGTCGTCCTGTTGTAGCTATAGGGTGGACATGGTTGTTCTGACTGCTCATTGTTTTGATTGTTGTGTAGTGTTACTGCAGCAGCCTTTTTCATAATGTGCATTGTGGTGCAAATCATTGGTGGCTATATAATTTTAGGTGCAACTTGCTCCTGTATGAAAGTCCTCCATTTGGACTACAGTCTCCATCAGCCCCAGACAGAATTTAAATATATAGCTGTCTTAGTCTGTGGAGTAAATATGTATAGAGATTTTGTAGCACCTTTGAGACTAACTGGAAAAGAAAAGAAAAAAAGAGGTTTGTAGCATGAGCTTTCGTAGACTTTAGTCTACTTCTTCAGATGCTTATGATGGACTGGGCATTACGACTGCATTTCCAAATGTAATATGGCAAATAAATAATAATAATAATAAATTTATTTCTATACCGCCCTGTGGCAAGCCAATCCGGGCGGTGTACAAGTATAAAATGTATACATGTATACATTTTATACATACAAGTATAAAATACAAAGGCATATGCATATGCTCAGAGACACTTTCTTCTTCGTTAGAGTGGTCCTAATAATAATAATAATAATAATAGATGGCTCCTATATCTTTATGGTAATGTAGAAGAGGGAATTGCAGCAGGTGTGGCTTGGCTTGCATGACAACCAACAGCTTGCTGCAGTGCCCGCTAATACACAACTATTAAAAGAGTCCAACTGAAAGAAAGAAGTTGGCACCATGAGCTTTCGTAGATTCAAGTCTGCTTAACCAAACGCATCTGAGGAAGTAGAAAGAAGTCTACAAAAGCTCGTGCAGCCAGTTTCATCCTTTCAGTTAGCTTCAACGGTGCTACAAGATCTCTCTACATACAACTATTAAAAGTAGAAGCGCCCTCTCTAGTTTTCAACGTGGCAACCCATTATGTGGCAATGTTTTCAACGTGGCAACCCGATGTTACTGATGTTTCCAATATGGCAACCCAATGTGGCTTGCGCACTAGCGTTCCAAAACTGAGACCATGTTTCCAGGAGCGGAGACCTGGAGGAGACGCCTTTATGTTATCTTTCTTTTTACGCAGCCTCAGGTATCCATCCCCACACCTGTCCTCACTCCCACCTTGGTCCAGTGCTAGCTGGTTTCTCACAAATCCCACCATCGTAAGTAGAGAGGGGACAATGGAGGCTCCCCCAACCCTCCTTCCCCATAAGTAGAGGGTCCTTTCTCCCCATATCCCAAATCGTCTTGTTGCCTAGGTGATTTCCCCCCCTTCTCTTTCCTCCTTTTGCAGATGAGGGGGTGCCGGTTGCCATGACGACGGCAGGCAGGCCCTTGAGGCCTACTGGTGGTAGTGATGGGGAGGAGAAGGCCGCTGTGCGTTGCCATGGCAGCCCCGTACCAGAGAGAGGCTTTGTTGAGGCGGCAGCAGCAGCAGCAGCAATTGAGGGGAAGGCAAGAAGGAAAAGGAGAAGAGGCAGAAGCCGAACTTGACCCATGGAGGAGGAGGAGGAGGGAAAAGGAGGGTGTTGCTAGAAAATGGGAGCCTTCAGTCTCTGGGTATCCATGGCATTGCCAATTCTTTGCTTCCTCAGTCAGCATAAAGCATTTTCCTGTCTCTTCCTCCAGGCATCCACACACACACTTCCAAAACATACTCAGAAATAATCCAGTTTGGGACCACTTTAACTGCCCTGGCTCAGTGCCAGGGAATTAAGGGACCTGTAGTTCTGTGAGGTGTTTAGCCTTCGCTGTCAGAGAGACAAACTACAATTCCCAGGATTCCCCAGCATTGAACCAGGGTAGGTCAAGTGATTTCAAACTGGATCATTTCTGCCCAGCGTGTGTCCTCACAAACACACACACACATATAAACCTATTGCATGCCACCACTGCCGCCTTTGTCCAAGTCATTGGTGGCTCCTCGCTTATTTACTTCTTGTTCCCTTGTTGATCCGGTGCGGCACGGCGGTTTGAATGTTGAACTACGGTTGCATCCACACTGGAGAAATAATACAGTTTGACACCAGTTTAATATTTGTGGCTCAATGCTAAGGAATCCTGGAAATGGTAGTTTTGTGAGGCATTTACCATTCTCGGTCAGAGAGTTCTGGTGTCACAATAAACTGATGCTAGAGGTTCTACGCAGCCACCATCATGATTCAGTGCTGTGTAAAGAAGTATAGTGGTTCCTCCACATTTGCTGGGGTTAGGGGTGGAAAAATGTGGAAAACCCCCAAATAAAAAACACTATTCTTTTTACCCAAGAGAAACCTCTCTAGGAATCTCCAAGTCCTCCAGTGCAACTCTATGGTCAACATCTGCCAGAGGTTGAATCATGCTGGAGGATCTACAAATGTGGGAAAATGCTTTCTTTAGGAACTTCTAGGTTTTCCAGCACAACTCTCTGGTCAACATCTGCCAGATGTTGATCATAGAATCATGCTGGAGGATCTACAAATGCCTAGAGAAGGGTTTTCTCTAGGAACTTCTAGGTTCTCCAGCACAACTCTATGGTCAACTTCTGGCAGAGTTGCGCTGGAGGACCTAGTGATTCCTAGAGAGAACATACGAATCAAGTCAGTGAATAATCAAATCTGTAAAAGTCAAAACCACAAATGGAAAGGGGCCAACTCTACTTAATAATAATAATAATAATAATAATAATAATAATAATAATAATAATAAATTTTATTTATATCCCACCCCTCTGTTCTGTCTGTCCTGAATTTGCCACTATCCAGCTTCATGCGCCCAGTCTTTTGCCCTAAAATATCCTTCTCCTTCCATGCTTCTTCCTATTCCTTCCTCCCAATCTTTCCTCCTTTCATTCCTTACAGGGAGACCAAACCCTCGGAATAAGCCTGTCCCATGTTGCCATCAGACTCAACTTTAAATATTCCCAACTTTTTTTGCCCCTACAGGAACCACGGAGCGGGTGTGCCTCGTCCAAGGCACGGCGGAAGCCCTCAATGCAGTTCACAACTTCATTGCGGAGAAGGTCCGAGAGATCCCTCAGTCTGTGGTGAAGCCAGAGTCGGTCAACATCCTCCAGCCCCAGACGACCATGAACCCTGACCGAGCCAAGCAGGTGAATGGCCTCAGAAAGGAGGCACCTCATTCTTATGTAGGGTTTGGGGTTATAGCCTGGGATACCCCTTATAAGAAAAGAAGATACTCTGTCAAATGGGACCAAAAGTTAGTTTAGCTCAGCCTTTCCCAACTTGGTGCCTTCACTACAATCCTATATTGTCCATAGCCAGCATGTGGATTATTATATGAGAGTCAGTGTGGCATAGTGGTTTGAGCACTGGACTAGCACTCTGGAGACCAGGGTTCAAATCCCAGCTCAGCCATGAAACCCACTGGGTGACCTCAGGCAAGTCACACACTCTCAGCCTCAGAGGATGACAATGGCAAACCCCCCTCTGAAGAAAGTTGCCAAGAAAACTCCATGATAAGTTCACCTTAGGGTTGCCATGAATTGAAAATGACTTGAAGGCACACAATAACAGCAGCATAGATCATCTGGAGGGAACCTGGTTGCAGAAATCTGGTCCAGTCCAGAGTGTGGAAAAGCCATGTTTCTGGACTATAACTTACACAATCCCCAGTCAACATGGCAGGGAGATGGAGCCAGTTTGTTTTCTGATGCTCCAGAGACTAGAACACAAACCAATGGGTGTAAATTGCAAGAAAAGAGATTCCACCTAAAATTAGGAAGAAGTGTTTTTTAAAAAAAGAAAATTGTAAAAGCTATTCAACAGTTGAGCGGCTGCCTCAAAGGGTGGTGGAGTCTCTTTCTTAGGAGGTCTTTAAGCAGAGGTTGAATGGGCATCTTTCAAGAGTGCTTTAGTTGTTTATTCCTACATGGCAGAATGGGGTTGGACCAGACTGTCCCCCTCCTTACTGTCCTTCTGTCAACGGCAAAGACCTTTTTATTCTTTTAAAAGTTTTCAAAACAAAACGTTTTTAAAGAATGGACTGTGGTTGGTGTATTTCTTTTCATTGCTTTGTGTCTTTTTAATTGCATTTCATCTTTTTAAGTGTAAGTTTAAATTGTTTTAATACTGTGAATAGTTTAATTCCATTTTACTGCTTACTTTTGACATGTTTTTAGCTGCATTGAGCTTTTTAAAATGGTAAGCTGCCTTGAGTTCCAATTTTGGGAGAATGGTGGGATGATGATGATACAAGACTTTTCCACACTTTGATCTTGTCCCACATTTATTTTTCTAATGTGGACTGTGAGATGCCTCTGAAAAGCCCATAACAGGGCATGGGAAATGATGACCTTCTTTGACATTTTATATGTAGACTGCTTTTGAATACAGCAGTTTCATTAGCTCTTATAGTGAGTAGCCATCTGAAGACCTAGTCTTCAGGAGTTGTCTGATTCTTGCCTTTGACAAGTAAATATAACAGATCAAAACACTGGATCAGTCAATTAGTAGTAACCCAACCTTTTAAATAAAAATTATATAAATAAGCAAACATAAACAGATCAAAACACTGGGTCAGTCAATTAGTAGTAACCCAACCTTTTAAATAAAAATTATATAAATAAGCAAACATAAACAGTGAAGGACTTTCTACCCAAGCACTAAGCCCAGAATTTGGGAGAAGTTCCATACTTGGTAAACTTCACCAACATCAAAACCAAAAATGGATAACTGAATTTTGGGGGGGTAGTGACATTTTCCAATTTGGATTCCAAATTCACGTTTGGAAGGACATATTGTTAAAAAAAGTTTCTGCATTGAACTTCAGGGTGATGTTATTTTTTTTCTTTACCCCAAACTGATAAACAAAAATAGAATTATAAGAATCTTAAGAGTAGGGAGGAATTGCACAACTAAACCACTCCTGAGAGATGGCCATTCAACCTCTGTTTAAAGATCTCCAAAGAAGGAAAGTCCACCACCTTCCAAGGATCTCTGTCCCACTGCTGAACAGCTCTGACAGTTAAAAAGTTTTTCCTAACATTTAGGTAGAATCTCTTTTCTTACACTTTGAATCAATTGTTCATGTTCTAGTCTCTGGAGCAACAGAAATCAAGCTTGTTCCATTTCCCATCAGACATTTAAAGGGGGCTATCGTGTCACCTCTCAGCCAATAGAATAGAAAACATTAACAACTTAAAAAGACCTAGATCAAAGTGACAATACTTTTGTAATCCTTGAGGCATCTATAAAAATGCCAGTGGTCTGCAAACGGATTGGCGGGAGTGTGTAATGCATGGTGTTTCTATTCCCTTGCATTGCTTTCCCATTGCAAAAGAAAGATGGCCAAACAGGGAGGGGTGTGCCTTTTCCTCTACTCAAGGTTGTTGTGTGTGTTGTGTGTCAAAGAGGCCAGCCTTCAGGTTTTTTCATTGTCTGTTGGTTGTGCCGTCGCTATGGCAGTGCAAAAGAAAGCCAGCTATGGGTTGGAAGCTGAAAGCAAGGATCTTGGCAGAGCCACCTTTGTGTGGGGGTCAGGAAGCATGTATGGAAGAGGAATTTACATGGCTGCTAGGATGAGAAGAAATGAATGAAAAGTGCATTCCTGCCCCCTGTCAGTTAAAAAGGTGCCTTTCCTTTTTTGGAGGAAGCTACAGAAATCCTTTCAAAATGTCCATAGAATATAGGAAGCTTGTTTGTCTGACTTGTATGTTCATTTTCTCCCAGACCTTTGACTCGAGCAACTTATAACACAATTAAGAACAGATTCAGAGACTGAAGTCAAGAAATCAGAAGACTAGGACTTGGAAGGGTGACTGTGAAAGAACTAGACAAGACAGTGTAATGATATAGTTGAATACCATGGTCAGAATAATCCATGCCATCATATTTCCAGTTTCTGTGTATGGTTGTGAAAGCTGGACAGTGAAGAAAGTTGATAGGGAAAAAATCAACTCATTTGAAATGTAATCCAGGAGAAGAGTTCTATGGATGCCATAGCCTGGCAAAAACAAAAATAAATGGGTCTTAGAGCAGGTCAAGTGTAAACTCTCCCTGGAAGCCAAAATGAGTAAACTGAGACTATCATATTTTGGACAGATCATGAGAAGACATGAATTTTTAGAAAAGACAATAATATTTGGTAGGGTAGAAGGCAGTAGGAAAAGAGAGAGACTGCATTCCAAGTGGATTGATTTGATCAAGAAAGCCAAAGCTCTGAGTTTGCGAGACCTGAGTAGGGCTGTTGATAACAGAGAGACCTGAAGATCTCTCATTTCTAGGGTCACCATGAGTCAAAGTTGACTTGATGGCTATTAACAACAACAACAAACAGATAAAGACAGAGGAAAAAGTTATAAAATCTGGGTAGGAAAAGCCCCAGAGTAATTGAAACAAGACTTCCTTTCACTTTCTTTCTTTCTTTCTTTCTTTCTTTCTTTCTTTCTTTCTTTCTTTCTTTCTTTCTTTCTTTTTGGAAGCCAAGATAGCTGAGCTGGCCACAAGAAAAATGCTAAAATGCATTAGTCCTAGTCAGAATTTCCACCAAATGTGCAAACATCTGTATGCAAATGACCATTTCCATCCCAAAACATAAAGAGCTAAAAAGCCTTGATAGATATGGAGGTGGACCTACAGGGTAGTGACAGAGCACCTGTTGTACACACAGAATACCTGAAAAGGAGACTCTTGATAGAAATCCTATGGTGTCAGTCAGAGTTCCAGAATTTGGAAAGATTACATTTTTGGGCATGGCCTCACAGAAATGCTCAGTGGCCATGCTGGCTGAGACATTCAGAGGGCTAGGGTCCAAAAGGAAAACTCTGAGACAAACAGTCTGACATATGAGATTAGGCTATACAGTGAGGCAGGGTTCTTACAAGGGGGCAAGGTCATGTTTGCAGGGGGAATGAGTAGCGTAAAGGACATCCTAGCAAGGTAAATGTGTATTTCAGGAGAGACTAATTTTAGTACTAAAATAACCAGAAATGGGACACAAATTGGGACAGGTAATTCAAGATACTTATAAGGTGAGCAAGCTGATTTTATATGTCTTTCTCAGGATATTTACCTGGCCTTGGCAGCCAACACATATTAACTCCTGGTTGCCAAGACACTGTACCTCCCCCAATAATAGGTGGAGGGGGGCTAGTCCCTTATTTTATGTGCCACCCTCATGTTTACTGGGGAGAGGGCAGAAGATTGTGCCCAAGACAGTGTTGACAAAGAGAAGCGGCATCTCTAAAATATTTGAAGGGATGTCCAATTCAGGATGGAGCAAGCTTGTTTTCTGCTGCTCCAGAGACGAGGACATGGGCAATGGATTCAAGTGACAGGAAAAGAGAGTCCATCTAAATCTTAGGAAGAACTTTCTAATGGTAAGAGTTGTTTGACAGTGAAACATGCTGCCTTGGAGTGTAATTGAGTCTCCTTTTTTGTAAATTTTTAAACAGTGACTGGATGGCCATCTGTCAGGACTGCTTTGATTGTGTCTTCCTACATAGCCAGGGGTTGACTCAATGGTCATTGGGGTCTCTTCCAACTCTATGATTCTATGATTCTATTATTCTTGTCCTTTTCTAGGTGAGCAAAGTATCATCCCACCTCTGCACTGTGTTTCAAAAAGAGAGCATAGAAAGTTCCTTTTTTGGACCACAACACCCAGATTCCCTCATGATCACTGTTTTTCCTGGCTTCGGGTATATGTAGTCTAATAAAAGGAATGTTTTCCTAGCTCTACTCAGAAACACAATGGAACAAACACAAGCTCCAGATTTACTTTGGAGCTGGAAAGGGGGGTTGATATAGTACGGGTCGTTGCTCTTGTGATACTTCAGAGTGTTTTGAAAACACAGGTCAGCACTGGGAGAATCTGCTCCCCAGAGTCCCACCTCCAAACTTGGGTTTATCCTTTCCTTGTATTCCTCACATTTGCCCAGAATCTGGGGGGCCTCATGATGTGGGCTGAGTGTGGTGGGTAAAACTGAGGTCTCTTCCCTGCTTTTTTCAGGCATTTTTCCTCTTTGGCCTCCTCTCAGAAGTGTCTTTCTTGATTTTAATTGGGAGTTTTTAGAGTCGGCAGGCTTGGAGGCAACAGCTGATTCCCAGATTACATAGCCCTTAAATCTGGGATGCGGTCCTACCCATCCTGCCTGCACGGAAGGACTTTCTCTTGCCTCCTGCTCTCCTGCTTTCCCTCTCCACTAATCCAGCACCATCGCTGTGGGTTGGTCGAGGTGATGGGTTTCGGGAGGCGCCTCTGACTTGATTACATAAGAGCATTTTCTTGCTAAATCTGTATGGCTTTCTCTTTCTCAGTGGTTATATAAAGGCAGTGGGGTGGGCAGGGTTGAGGAGCCCCCCCTTTTTCATCACAGAGGCCCTGAAGCCATCTCTCTGAAAACCCACTCCTTCTT